CCAGCCAGGGAAAAAGAAGAGAGATACAGGCTTTCTTCAGAGGCAATCGGAGAGAAAATTGAAGTAGTGTAACTGCCTCCAAATATAGAACACAATTATGGGAATCAAGGGGCATGTTGAACAAGAAATCACCACAAGAAATCATGAGGCTGCCATGGCTCAGGGCTCGTGGTGTCTCAGCAGATGCAGAGCATCACAGACCCCCCCACAAACTTTGGAGCAGTAGAGCATCCCCATGCACGGCGCAGCGCTGGGCAAGCCCGAAGCTCCTTTCTCAGGGACCCAGAGAGCAGACTGTGACCATGATGCCTGGTGTGGGTCAGCGGCACTGAGCACACCCTGAGGTTCAGCCACACCATCGCTCTGCACCCCCGCCCAGAGCAGGGCAGCAGGAACCCCAAAAGCTGCAGCCTTCTTGTGATGCAGATGCTTCTGTGCCAGCGCTAGGTGGACTTCTCCACCAAGAGAGCTCACCAGCTCACAGATGCTGAGGAGAGCCAGGCAGGGAGATAGGGTTGTTTTGGGAACCAAAACACCAAAGCCCCCCATCTCACTCTTCTATGTGGCTGGTTTTCCCAGGTTTCCTCGCCCTCGGTGACCTCCCATGTGGGTCCCTTCCTGGGGGTCAGGTGCTCTCTGCCCGTTCCTGTCCATCTCACCATCCTCCAGGAGCTGCTGGCAGAGATAATTTGTGGGCCAATGTGAAGTCACAGCCTGTCCCACGAGTAATGGGAGGGTGGAGAGCTGCACAGTACTGCTGCTTTCATCCAGCAAGGCTTGGGGCTGTGCAGAAGTGGGAGGTGGTGTGCCCAAAGGTTACATGGCAAACGTCACCCAAATCAGGACTTGACCCTACCACCTTTAATCCCAGCCATAGACATCTGAGACCTCCTTTGCACATGGCTGTTGGGTCACAGGGGCCCCGTGACAGGAGGGCAGGATCCTGTAGCCTTTAAACTTTTGGGAAATCAGTGCAGAGATGCTTTTATTCAGGGTGAAGTGTTGAGCCCTTTGGTCTGGCTGGAGTCCCCACAGCCCGTGCGATGGATGTTAGGGGTGGCCTGTGACCCAGTCAGGTCAGCTCCAAGGCAATGGGCATCCTGGGGGTGCTGGAGCAGAAGAAGACCAGGTTAGCCTGGCCTTCAGCATGGGTGTCCTTCTGAGGACCAGGGACTTCCCTCACGGCTCTGTGCATTCCTATGGGGTCGATTCAGATCAGCGTGTAGCAGATCCCTCTACTAGGTGGGTTCAGCTGGGACTTTTGGGCACCTGTTCATCTCACTGAGCAGGAACAAGGGAGTGGGGTCCGAGCTGGACTGAGCCATGGGTGCAACCACAGGAACTGTGCTTCCTGTGAATACACCGTATTCTTAGTGATTCCCCTAAATGAGGGCTAGCCAGGGACACAGACTTGCCATGGAAGAGCTGAAGGAGGGACCTGTTTTGTGGGTGTTGCATGGCAGCACTGCCCTTGCAGAATTGTACCCAACAAATCTCCACTCTGCTGCAAAAGTCACTGGAATTGGTGCCAGCGTGTGAAGCACGTGCCATGCATCTTGGTCTTTCTTGGCACAGCTTCCACAGGTGGGGTGAAGGGGGATCTCCCAGTCTGCACGTGGAGAAGGAATGGCAACTCCCCAGAAGCATCCACTCACCTCCACTTCTGAGCCCTGCAGTGAAGGTCAAATGTCCATGCCAGGTAGAAAAACACCCACCTCCGGGTTTCTACAGGCATAAAGATGTTTATGGAACCAGAGCATCGTTTGTATGAGGAAAGTCTGAGAGAGCTGGTACTGTTCAGCCTGGGGAAGAGAAGGCTCAGGGGGACCTTATCCATGTGTATAAATACTTGATGGGAGGCAATGAAAAAGAGGGAGCTAGATTCTTTGGAGTAGTGTCCAGTGACAGGACAAGAGGCAATGGGCACAAATTAAAAAATTAGGAAATTCAGTCTGAACACAAGAAGACACTTTTTTTGCTTTGAGGGTGACGGAGCACTGGCACAGATCGCCCAAAGAAGTTGTGGTATTGCCATCCTTGGAGATACTCAAAACCTGACTGGGCACAGTCCTGGGCAACTGGCTCTGGGTGAGCTGCTTGAGCAGGGGAGTCAGACCAGATGACCTCCAGATGTCTCTTCCAACCTCAACCAGTCTGTGATTCTGTGTGTGGTACCTGTCACAGCTCCCCATTTACCCCCAAATTGCCTGAGATTAATGCAGCCCACAGCTTGTTATTTCTTATTTTATTTATAATATAAAAAAATGTTCAAGTGTTAAACAGTCGAGAGTTCTGACATTCAGACAATCCAGAGCAAACTTTGACAATCATCTTATGACAAATTAGCAGAATTTTCTATCTGATCCCATCATGGGTGAGGAATAGAGGGTTTAGTTACTTTATTGCTAAAAGTTAAATGAAATACACTGTCAATTGTTGTATTATCTTCTCAGTCACAGCTTCACCATGCATCCGATCTACAGTATCTGAAATGCAAAGGACATGCAGAAGTAAAAATATAAAAAGAAAAAAGTCAGGCTACAATGTAAACAGGTTTGCTGCAGAGAACTGAGGAGAGAGGGGCACTTCCACAGGGGATGCTCTGCCGCCCGGACACGCAGGACTGTCTCTTTGCGCCACAGAGCCGATGGCCAGAGCTGCTCTGAGTTCAGAAACACGGTGTCCATCATCGATGGCAAGACGTGACGGTAACAACTGTCTTTACAATATACGGCACAGCGGTACAGAAGAATCCACTCGCTGGGCTGCCCTATGCAGGGCCCTTCCCGGCCAATGCAGGGGCAACAAGCAGGGCCGAAAGTGCTCGGGCTCCTGCCAAACCCCAGGGCAGCGCAGCTGGCAGCTGCCTGGCACGGTGTCCAGGGTGAGCCGTGGCCGTGCTGCGCCACGGCGCCGCCTTCCGGGAGTCCTCCCGGCACCACCTGAACCGTGGCCAAGCACGGCACGCAGGACGCCACCGCCCTGGCAGCCCGCCGGCA